CCTTCACTCCCCCAGTTCCAAGACACTGAGGCCCAGAGAGTTGAGCCAATTTGCCCAAGATCTCAGAGCCAGAAAGGAGCAGGGGTGGGACAGGAACCCAGGTAAGCGGGCTCTGAAGCTTAAGCCACAATAAGCACCACCCCTACGGCCACGTTGGGCTCTCCAGCCTCAGGGTTGGGATCCATGAGGAGCTGACTTCAACCAATTTTTTCCAAACTTCTTTGCTCTGATTTCTCTCTACACACAACGCAGTCACTGTCTCCTTATATGACACATATGCACCTTCAGATTCCCACCTCCCAGACTTTGCTCAAGCTGTTCCTCCCCCCTGGAATGTTCTTCTCCATGTCCCATATGCTCCCCTTACTCATTCTATAGGCCCACCCTGATACCCCCTCTCCCATGCAGTCTTCCTGCTTTCCCCACTGGGGAAGATGGCGCTCACCCTCGTATCCTTGCCATTCACGTCCATCCTTCTCCCCCCACAAGACTACTCTGAGCTCCACTGCATTAAGCTCGGGGGATGCAAAAGTAACTGAGACCCCATCCCGCTATTACAGGCTGAATTGTGCCCTCCCCCCCAAAATCATATGTTTAAGTCCTAACCCCCAGTGCCTCAGAATGTGGCTGAATGTGGAGATAGGGTTTTTAAAGAGGGGGCTGGGCCGGCCCCGTGGCGTAGCAGTTAAGTGCGAGCACTCCGCTGCTGGCGCACCAATGCACCACTTGTCAGGCCATGCTGTGGTGGTGTCACACACAAAGTGGAGGAGGATCGGCATGGACGTTAGCTCAGGGCTGATCTTCCTCACAAAAAATAAAAAAGAAATAAAGAAGGGGTTAAGGTAAAATGAGGTCAGTGAGGTGGGCCCTGATTCAATATGACTGGTGTCCTTACAAGAAGAGGTTAGGACATAGACACAGAGAGAAGAAGGCCATGTGAGGACACAGGGAGACGACGGCCATCTGTAAGCCAAGAAGAGAGGCCTCAGGAGGAACCAACCCCGCTGACACCTTGATCTTCGACCTCCAGCCTCCAGGACTGTGAGGAAACACATTTCTGTTGTTTACGCCGCCCAGTCTACAGCACTGTGTTATGGCGGCCGCCCAGTCTACAGCACTGTGTTATGGCGGCCCTAGGAGGCTAATGCGCCTGCCCTCCAGCAACCTGACATCCGACAGCGTCAGGACTCAGTTCCCACCTTCAGAAGCTCCATACTTCTGACTTGGAGCCCTGGCTCTCTGGGTATAAGATATGCACAAATACCAGGTTCCTCAAGACCCCGGAGCGGAGAAGGTAGATAATCAGCTCAGAATTATCCCTGCATACAACTCCCCTCGACCTCCCCAACCCTGCAGACACAGCACGGAGCAGATGTGGAGAGTGAGGGGTGGGGGTGGAAGGGGAGGGGAGAGAGGGGTGATCTGCTGATGAACGTGACAAGGCTGAACAAACCAGGCCTGGTGGCAGAAAGCTCGAATTCAAGTCAGCTGATGCATCAAGCCTGAAGTTCAAGTGCCACAAGGGAAGGAGCACAGGAGAGCTGTGCTCAAAATAAGCATAATAAACACGCAATTTCCCACAAACAGTAAAATTGGGACAGTGTGCACCACAGTCCCATTGGGGTAACCTGAAGCCGCAACCCCGGAGGCAGAGACCAGCGCTCTGTAATATTTATCCACCTTCAGATCACGCCTCTGCCTCGGAGGGCGGCTCAGGAGACACAGAACCCGCAGCCTCTGTGCGCAACCCGTTCCGGATCCATCAAAGCTGACGCCGGTTGGTTTCAATGAAACATTAATTTCACACATAACACTTTGTTTCTACAGCTAAACGTCAGCTGGAAAGGCAGTGTTTGAACTTCCAAGCAAGCCCCCTTCCACATCTCCACGGGAGCGGGAAGAAATCAAGCCTTTGGAAGGAAAACGCACATACTCTCCCAGGGCTGCAGCCTCAGGGGCTTGTCTCAGAACCAGCTTGAATCCTGGGATTCCTTTTTGTGGACACATAAAATACCATTTTAAAAAATCTATCCCTGTAAGTCTTTTAATTGTGAAAACACCTGACAGGGTAAAGCAAACGCCTTCTCTGCTCATGTCGACCACATCTGCAGAGCTAAGTTTCTGGGGTCTCACTACCTGGGCAAATGAGATGAAATAAAAATTTTAAAAGACTCTGCTCAGCAAATTGGCCTCAAGTTAGTTTCTGGTTGTAGCTTTCAAAGATGGTGCTTTCAAGTGGAGGTGAAACCAAATGCAGAATCCTGGCTAAAATCTGGCCCTGTGGCTGCCCCCTGAGAATGGAGAGGGCAAAGCGCATTTCTAAGACACTTTGAGTGCCGAGGAAACAGTGCTACCCATGCATCGAGCGCTGAGAAAAAACATTTAGAAGAATGGTTTTACTGAGCGCTTGGTAACCGCTTTTACTCTCCCTGAGTTTCCCCAGGCAAGTGAAACTCCTAAACCACCACCGGCACCCCCAGCCAAAGGATGCTCTGCTTCTCCAGAGAAAACTCCAGCCTCCCTCGACTTCCCATTCCAGAAAACAGGTGGGTGGGGGGAGAGAAGCAGGAGTGGCACGGTGTTTAAGCCAAGTGCCTGGGTCAGCATCCCGATGCCCTCTGCCTTCTCTTCACTCCACAACACTGACCCTCGCTAACAGTAATGAGGTCCCTCTGGCTCCGCCTCCTGAGTGTCTGCTAAGTGCCAGGCGATGCCCTGCTTTCCACACGCCATCACTGCCCTCCCATTCCCCATGGCCAGAGGGGAGACGCATTTCCCAAAGCTCCTCTATGGTTCTGGACTTCCTACCCACCCCCAAAGAGAAGCCAGCACCCCCTCCCATCCCCCACTCCCATGGCCCCCTCTCCCGACATTCACCTGCCAGCAGCCAGGATACAAGCCCACCCAGTCACTGAACCCAGCCACTGTCCCCAAGGAGCAAAGCCAGAGGCTCCCGCCCTGCTGGCCCACACACCCCCCTCACTCTCTCCAATGATGCTGCGCTCAGAATGAGGGGAGTGGGCTGGGCGTTAGTGAGTCCTGAAGGCGCCAGTCCCACCCCAAGGCTGGTCTCCACCCTCGGTGTCTCTCTCTCCCTTTCTTCACCCCCACCTCCCCCCATGAGGCTAAAATGACAAAGAGACTGGAGTAAGCTGCTGGATCAACACCCTCAGCGGGTGGGGGTGGGGTGAGGGCTTGGTTTGGATACTCTAGCTCTACAGGGCTGACTTTTAATGTTTGTTCCTTGAGTTATCGGTTTCTGGGTTTCAGTCCCTAAGTTATAGCTATAGTTATAAGTTATGGGACACAGTTTGTTCACAAGTATTGGGGAGGAATGAAGGGCTGGGCCCAGCCGCACTCTGGAGTCTGACCCCTCTCTCAAGATGCAGATGGGGATGGCCCCCCCGGGGTCTTCTAGGGAGGGAGCCCTTACCTACCTGCTACCTTCTGTAAAGCACCACCCTCAGTGCCCCGACTGCTCCCTGCTGGCCCCAGGTGCCCAGGGAGTCGGCTCCAACCCCGCCCCCAACCCCCAAGGTTCTTGTCTGACTGGAGAAGGCAGAAACACAAAGACCAGAGACTTGGCATCTGCGCCCCAGCAGCCCCCAGCTGGTTGGGGAGGGGAGCCGGCAGGGCACGGGGCTCTGGACCAATCAGGCCCATCCAGTGCTGCCCCTGCCCCGACATCTTCATCCCCCCATCCTATCCCTTCTCCAGAAGAATCTCCCCACCTCGGAGGACCCTAGCAGGGCTAGACAGAGGAGGTGGATACAAGTGCCGCCCAGCCCTGGGTACACCACTTTCCTGGCTAGGGAAGCACCTGGATGCCCACCCCTCTACTCCCAGTGGATGCAGGGGCCTGGCCCTATGCTGCTGCCTCAGAACTTTGGGGAACAGTGGTCAAGGAGAAGAGTTGGGGGTCAGCCACTGGACAGTGAGTGGACACTGATGGGAGAGTGAGGGGAGATTGCCATCTCTTTTCCCCAGACAACCAGTCCCCACACACACAGCTGCCACCTCCCTGCACCACTCCCTCCCCCAAAACTACAGATGCTCCCCTGGGGCTGCCTGGAGGTGACCCCATTCTGACCATCGGTCATCTGATGGGGTGCGGGGGCGGGCAGGGAGGGAAGCGAGGCTGAGGCACCCCCAGGGGAAGATTATGAGGGTATCCCCAGGCCCCCTGGGATGCACCACCAAAAAGGATGGGGCCGGATCTCGGAGGCGTAGGAACAACAGCGCTGGTGGAAGGAGGCGCCAGAGGACCCTAACAGAAGCGGCCTTTCGGGGCAGGGGATGTCGGTGTCCAAATCCCAGCTGGAGCGAGGCCAAAGCGGCAGCGGGGAAGGAGGCGGGAGGGCAGGGAGTCTATGGCCCGCGGGTCCGGAGCGCGGCGTGGCGCCCAAGTGGGCGGGTACGCAGATCCCGGCGCATCCAGGTACGTCCGGCGGCGGGACCTCAAGACAGCCGCGGGTCACACTCGGGGAATCCGGGGAGAAGGGTTGCCCCAGAATCGAGGGTCCCAGAATCGGACGCCGACCTCACACGAGCGGGGTCCCGGGTAGACCAGGGTGGAGGGGGTCCTAGAGTCAAAAATCTCAAACTGAGCGAACCGGGTGGAGTCTGAAGGCGATCAGGGCGCAACACCGAGTTGGGGGTGATCATACAGGGCCTGGAGAGGCCCCAAGGTTGCCAGAGTCCCAAAGCCCCTGGAGAGCCCCCCACCCATAACCTGGGATCTGGAGGCCAGTGGGGGCGCGCCCAAGGTGACTCAGGGTCCCAGAAATCTGAGGAAATGTCCCCTGATGTGAGGCAGGGTGCTCACATACCCGGGACCTCTCCCTAAGTACCGGTGGCCAGAGGCCAGTAGGGGCGCCGCCGAGGTGACTCGCGTCCCCAAGTCGCCGAGAACGCTCGGGGTGACCTCGGGGCGGTCCAGAAGTGGGGGGCCCCGAAGGGTCCGGGGCAGAGGCCGCGAGGGGCGCGCGGAGGTCACTTACGCTGCTGTTCTCGCCCGTCCAGTGCACCATCGCCTGGTTGTGCGTCGCGTCTCCCTTGAGCACGAACGACGTGCTGATGAGCGAGACCTGCGCCCGCGAAGCCGCTCCGGCCACCGGCGCCGCCCGCGCCCAGCGCCCCTGGCCCG